CATCCCCGCCGTGCGAGGGTCCAACGTACGAGAGTGTTTTTGTCATTTTCTGGGCGATGCAATTATTTATAACACTTCAGTTCCGTTTACATCCTCTTTCATTCTATTTTCGTTGTGTCTTTTGACTCTAAACACATTTCACTTCCTACGGGACCTGCTGCCGTCGTCCCGCACGTCCAGGAACGATGCTCGTCACCCCAGACGCTCTGGACTCCAGAACCTCCCCCCGGAGCCATTTTATTGCAAGTCTGTTGGTCACGAATTTCTTTAGGTTCCATTTATCTGAGACAGTCTTTGTTGCGTCTTCATTTCTAAAATGTGAGCTCCAGCGAGGCACCCGTGACCTGAGGCGGAATAAACGGGGGAGTTGCTGGCTCTGAGCCGAGGGCGCGCCCCGCTCCCTCCCGCCGGCAGTCAGCTGCGCCCCCAGGGTGGCCTGCTTCCAGCTTCGCAAATGGATCCCGCAGAGCAGAGCTGAGCGCAGCCTTTGGTGTCTGTTTTCTCACTGGGCCGGGCCCAAGTCTGCTGCCGGGAGGTCGAGGCACAGCTGCGTCCCCCACCCCAGGCTGCCGCCTCAGAGGCACCGGAGCCGGCCCAGGGCCCAGACAGGACAGTCAGCTCTGGCAGGATTCTCCCGGTCCGCCAAGTGGCTCAGGCGGCTGGGTGGCTGTGGTGGGTCTTCCCGTGACCTCTGCCTCAGTTTCCAGGTCTGGGGCTCAGGGGTGAAGGCCCAGGATCCTCCTGGGAACTGCTCTGGGCCCAAAAGGACCCTGCCCCCAGGTCTGAGCACCCAGAGGGGCCCAGCTCCCCTCCCGGTCCAGTTGGACCTCACAGACCCACTGTCTCCGCCCACCCCGGTCCCCATCCTGGGCCCCCTCCCCACCCCCGTGTCCCTCGTCCTGGGCCAGCTCCTCTCCCAGGCTGCTCATAACAACGTTCTCACCAGGTCGCCGCACCCTGGCATCCTCTAGGTGAGGGCCCCCACCCTTGTCCCAGTCTGGGGCTGGGGTCTCTGTGCCCAGGGAGTGCTGGGGGCCCCCACCCTTGTCCCGGTCTGGGGCTGGGGTCTGTGTGCCCAGGGAGTGCTGGGGGCCCTGCTGGCCCTGGTGAAGGCTGAGGATTGTCCTGATGTGACTCCTTCAGCCTCGGACGCCTTCGGAGGCCTCTCTCAGGGGCGGGCACCCTCTTCCCGCTTGCCCCGGGCCAGGGCGGATTCCCAGGTCAGCGGGTCAGGAATGCGGCCCTGGTAGGTGCCCACTGCCCACAGCCCAGGGAGACAAGGCACCCGTTTGGGGCACGGCTGTACCAGGACTCCTGGGACTTGCTCCACCTTGTATTTAACTGAGATGAAATTTATAAAAGTCATGATTTTAAAACGTAATTCATTGGGTTTTAGTATATCCACGGAGGTGTGCGACGCTGACCACCATCCATTTAAGAACGTTTTCATCAGCCCCAAAAGAAACCCGTCCCCATCCGCAGCCACTCCCAACCCCCTTCCCAGCCCCCGGCCACCTCGAACCCGCTTCTGTCTCTGGGTGGAGACTCCGCGTGGACGCAGTCACGCGGTACACGGTCCCTCGCGGCTGGCTTCTCTGCGTGTAGTGATTTTGGGGCTCGTCCACGTTGTAGCACGTGGCAAGTGTGTCCCTCTTGCGGCGGAAGGACACGCCACCGCACCCACCACCGCGTGCGCATCCCCGAGTCAGCTGACGGACGCTTGCGCCGTCTCCACGTTCCGGCCGCGCTGGCGCTGCTGTGCGCACGGTGTGCGATGCGTGTCCGCTTTTCCTCCCACGCTGGTGACCCCCAGAGGCCACAAGCCACCAAGGACACATCCCAGTCCCCCCGACCACACACGCGCCGTAGAGAGATTCTAAAGTTAAAGAGAAAAGTGCATCTGCGGAACAGAGGCCGCGGCGCGCTGGCGCGGGCGGAGCCTGTCATGCCGCGTGCGCTCACACACGCACCGGCCTCGCCTGGCGCCCGGCGCCCCGCCTGGCGCTGCTGCCGCCGTCTGCGCTCGGCCTCCAGCAGGCCCGGACACAGACGCGGGGCCCAGAGGGTCCGAGACCCTGTGGCTGGGCCCTGCTCTCCTTCCAGCTGCCCACCCAGCGCCTTGGGGGCATCCCCGTTGGCTCCACCACCTGGACACAGTCCTGTCCTGTCATCTCCGCGCCCTCGGGGTCCCGGCGGCTGTGTCCTGGGATGAGGACGGGGCCGCGCCAGCTCTCAGATGCCCAGACTCAGTGCCCCACGGGCAGGCGCCGGCCCATGGCCCTGTCCCACGTGTGTGTGGCCTTGCCTGCTGCGTGACGGCCACCCTCCCCAACTGCAGGGATGGCTTGGTTGAGGGAAACGGGCCCAGCCTGCTCTGGTGTGGTCGGGGCCCAAGCAGGTGCCACTCACAGGTGGTCTCCAGGTGTCTTTGTGCCTGGCAGGCTCAGGTGTGGTTGCCGTGGGGAGCGGGGGACCCCGTGCGGCCTGTGTCCCGGGTTCGGCTGGACCCACTGTGTCTGTGGCCCTGGGTTTGCTGGTTAGCAAAGGGCACAGGGGCTTTCTGGTGTCCACTGACCCATCCGGGGAACAGTGCGGGGCAGGGTGTCCAGTGAGGCAGCACGACCTGGACCCCCTCTCCCTAGGCCTCTGGGGCCCCGGGCTGGGGGTTCGGGGGGCTCAGTGACAGCTCTGGGATGCTGTGAGGACAAGGGGACCCCACCCGTAAGGGTGCTGTGTCGATGCCAGCTGCCATGTGGGCTGCTAGGGGTCCCAGGGCCAGCGTGGCCGGCCAGATGTAAGGGCCTTGGCAGCGTGCGGCGTGTGGCCCCGCGGTCTTCAAGGGTCAGGCTGTGCTCAGGCCAGTGTCCAGAGAAACACTGCAGGCGGCGCAGCTGTGGCAACACCAGGCCGGCGCCCGCTGTGCTGACCACACGCTGTCTGCGGCCTGAACCCAGACACCTGGCCCGCTGGGCAGTGACCCACCCGCACCGCTCTGCCGGGATGCAGCCCCTCCCCCAGGGACTGTGCTTAAGTGAGCCCCTCCATCCGTCCTCTTGGGTGGGGGTCTCTGGTCCTCTGGCTTGCCCGGCCCAGGGCCCCCTCCAGCTCCATGTCCCGCTGGCCCCAGTGCACAGGTGGGCACAGCCGCAGTGCCTGCCCGTGGCCGGTCCAGAGGCGCCAGGGGACACAGGCCTGGGAAAGGGCCTCTCTGAATGGGGGCCAGTGGGGTGACCCCACGGTGCCCAGTACAAGCCCTCGGTGGCCTGTCCGTTGTCACCCTCACAGGCATGGGCTCCACGTGGCCTTGGTGAGCACTGGGCCATGCTGAGTGGGGACATGTCACAACCACGGCCAGCTGTTGGGGGCCCTTGCCTCCTCAGGGGTCGTTCTGAGCTGTGGACGGGGCTGTGCTGGAGACGACAGGCCTCCTGGGCCAGCCCTCCGCTGCCCTGCTCCGTGGGAGGGGTGGGAGGGCCGGTGCTCAGGCAGGGGCAGGCGCCAGGCTGGCTGGACCCCAGCACACAGATGGGCAGGCAGGGGCTGCCCTCTCTGGCCTGTGTCCAGCCCTGGGGCCTCTGGGCTGAGCCGGGGCTGCTGGGCTGGCCCTGCCTGGTCTCAGCCCTCCCCAGGGCACGCGAGGGCAGGGCTCTTCAGGCAGGACGACACAGCCCCTCGGACCAGGCTGAGGAGAGAGGAGATTAAAACCGGGGCTGCCACCAGGGCAGGCAGGGCAGGCCCCAGGGCTCGTGGCTGAGAGAGCGTTTCACCCCGGGAAAGAGGGGCTGAGGGGAAGCTGCGTGAACTGCAGCCAAGACAGAGAGTGTTCCCTGGAGGAGCCACCTGCCCACTGCGGGAGGCACACAGCCTCTGCCCTGGACCGAGAACTGCTGAGGAAGACATGCCTGCAGCTCCTCTGGGGGCCAAGTGGGCTATGGGAGTGCACGGCTGCTCCTGCCCAGGCTGGAGAAGCAGAGGGCCGCCAGGGCCCTGGATCCAGCCTGGCCTGAAGTCCACCCTCCCCTAGGAGCCAAGAAGGAACACAGTCAGCATCTTGTGTCTCCCCAGCTAGGAGGCAGGTACTGGCTCCACAGCAGTGGCTGGCGCGGGGGGACCTCCACTGGGCTTCACAGAGACCCCCTTGGGGGTACAGTCCAGCCCTGTGGCCCCAATACCATGTGGAGCTTGTGCTTGTACCCAAGGAGCCACCCAGGTGCCAGGAAGGAGGCAGCTCCCCCCTGCGCACACAGGTCGTGATCTCACAGCTGGTGTTGGGGTTCCCTGTCCAGGGTGAGGCTGAACCACAGGCCAGCACTGTGGGGAGAGAAGATGGCCAGCTAGTCTTCCCAAGCCTCAGTTTCCCTGTCTTCAGTGCAGGGGGACTGAAGAAGATTCCCCGGCAAGACCACGCAGGGTTCAGGGGGGGAAGGTGGCCAAGGAAGTACTTGTCACATTGTCAGGGGCAGGATGGGGCCCCCGATGGAGCTGAGCCTCCCCAGGCTACTCCTTCCTTCCCGTGGGGTCCTGCACCTGGACCTCATGCAGCGCCACCCCGGGCTCTGCCAGGCACGGGGGAGGGCACGGCTCGGGCCCGGCTGGCCAGGACTCAGCAGCTGGCTGTGCAGGGGGAGCCCCGCCTGCGGGGACGCCCAGGGGCCAGTGGGAGAAGGGCGAAGGGGCAAGTTGAGGCCGCAGGGGGAGGCACATTTAGGAAGGACCCCACCACAAGCCCCTTCTGCCAAGAGACAGCCATCTCCACTCCCAGTCCCAGCAGACGCCAGGCCCCGGCCCGGGGTGTCTGACCCCAAACTCACGTCCTCATCACCATATTGCACAGAATGTCCCTCTGCTGGGACATGTGCAGGCTCACTGCCTTTTGCCTGAGCCTCCTTCATCCAGGACACAGAGCAACAGCACACCACCCACCCAGCCCCTGTCCATCTGTCCATGCCCCCGTCCACCCATCCGTCCACCTGTCCATTCATCTACCTGACCGCCACCCATCCATCCACCTGTCCACCCATCTACCTGACCGCCACCCATCCGTCCACCTGTCCACCCATCTACCTGACCGCCACCCATCCGTCCACCTGTCCACCCATCTACCTGACCACCACCCATCCGTCCACCTGTCCACCCATCTACCTGACCGCCACCCATCCGTCCACCTGTCCACCCATCTACCTGACCGTCCACCCATCCGTCCACCTGTCCAACCATCCACCATTCCCATCACAGGTGTTCAGCCTTCTCTGAGGCAGGTGCCAGCGTGGAGCCCGGGAGCGCAATGGAGAAGGTGGACCTGCGCACCCGGAAGGCTAGCTGTGCCGCAGTGACAGGTGGCGTTGTTTGCACCCACCATGGGTGCCAGTCTTTTCGGGGTCCTCAGGGAGGGCTTCTGGTCTGCTGTCCCTGCCCAGCTGCCCGCTCCAGAATCTGCTTGGTCCTGCCCAGCAGGAAGCACGCGTGGGGCCATCACCCGGGGATGTGGGGAGGCGCCCCGGAGCCACCCTCTGGAGCTGTAGGTTAGGCGCCCGTGCGGGTCTCTCTGGGCGCCCTTTGCTCTCTAGCGAGGCCAGAGACAGCCGGGCCAGCTCCGTGGCTGCCCTGGGCCGCAACTGCTCCCCTGCCCGGAGTGTGCGGGGGGCCAAGGTGGGCGCAGACTGCGGGGGGCCAAGGCGTGGGCTGCTCCGCTGGCCAGGCAGCCATCTCATGGGGCGCCCGGGCTGGGACGGGGGCTCTGGGGCTGTGGCCTTGGGCCCTTTGTGGCTCTGTTTCTGAACAGTCTCCTGACACCCAGTGGGGTCAGGCCTGGGGCTGCTTCTCCCGCATCCCCAGGCCTGGGACACCTGCCCCGGGGCTGCCTCCTGTTCTGGGCCCCGGCTGCTCCGTCCAGCCTCGCCTGACCGCCCTGGCCCGGCACGGCGCGCGGCTGAGCATGTTGGGGAGCCTGCATCCTGCAGCCCGAGCTCTGGCCGGCCGTGGGAGGGGGCCGCGACCTCACGCAGCTGAGGGGCCACGACGACATGCAAAGGCACACACGCACTCACACGCACACTCACACGCCGTCTCCCTGACACACACACGCTCACCGCAGAGAGCCGCACGACACCGCCTGAGGGCCGGGCAGGCTGGGGGTCCCCAGGAGGAGCCGACCTGCAGGGCAGCAGCCCTCGTTGTCGCGACTCGCCCACCCCCAGGCCAGGCTGGTCACACTGCGGGGCTCTGCGCCGAGTGTTTATTCGTCTGCCAGTGGGGCTCCAGGCTGTGGGGCGGGCGGGCCCCTTTGCCCTTCAACAGGTGCCCGCCTGGGGCAGCCATCCTGGCAGGGAGACAGAGGGGGCGGGTGGAGGGAGAGGCGGTCAGCAGCCAGGAGGAGGCTGGGGAGGGGACGCTGGGGAGGAGCTGGGGTCGCTGCCGCCAGCTGTGCTGGGGAAGTCCCTGCCCCACCCCCACCCCGCGGGCCCCAGACTCACTGCAGACCCCGTGCCGTGAGCTCGAAGGTGCGTGTGCAGGCGTGTGCAGACGCGAATGTGCTCAAGTGCACGAGCGCACGGTGTGTGTGCACGTGAGTGGGCGTGTGCAAGCATGTCCTGCGTCAAGGCCCCCGGGCTCCACCCTGCTTCCCGCCACGCAGGCTGGTGGCCCTGTTACCGGCCAGGTTGGGGAAGGCGATGTTGTCCTCCGAGAGGCCGTGCGTCCGGCCCAGGCAGATGAACTTGTCCACCGTCCCCTGGGGCAGCACCCAGCTCCTGCCTGTGGCGGGTGAGCACAGCGCGGCCCTCAGCGCTTGGCGTGGCAGTGGGTGCGCAGCCTGCCCCGTCGCTCCTGGTCGGTGGGCGGCAGGGTCTGGCCCCATGTCCCAGAAGCACCAGGGCCCGCCGGACGTGAGCAGGGCCGCGGGCGAGGCGGCTCACCCAGCAGGCTGACTCTGATGATGGTCAGGCTGCCCGCGGGCCTGCGGGAGAGCACCAGGGCGAAGCTGGTGTAGTCGCTGTCCACCACCTGGATCTCCTCTCTGTCAGTCCCTGGTCCTGGCGGGGCACAGATGTCAGGTCCCGCCCGGCCAGCCCCCGTCCCTCCCGCCGGTGGCTGTCTCACCGCTGCCGTGCTCCACCGCGAACTGCCCCGGCTGGGCCTCCGGTATCATCTCGTAAGACCAAGTGTGGCAGCGCCGGCCCCTGGGGGAGGGCAGAGGCAGAAGGCTCCGGAAGCTGACCAGGCCCACCCAGAGGTGCCCCCCGAGGAGCATTCAGCTGTTCGTTCGGAGGGGACGGCGGGAGCTGTGAGTGGGCCCTGCCCGTCCCAGCGGACACAGACTGAACCTGTCTCTCCTCTCCAGCCCGGGGGAGTCTTGTGCCTGGGGCCCTTCAGGCCACCCTGTGACCCTCCTGGAGGGGCAAGGTGTGATTTCGCCCTCCTAGGAGCACAGCCGACCTCTGACCGCCCTCACGCTGGGGGCTCCTCTTTAGTCGGAAACACCCCACATCCACATGGATGTGCAACGAGGAAGAAAAGATCCCTCCGGGAGGGCCGGTGTATCCAGTGGGCATCGCGCCGGTGCCCCGGCCGTGAGCCCTGGCCTTGCCGAGTGCGGCAGGAGCCGAGGCCGACGCTCAGGAGCGGTGAGCGCAGAGGCGCGGGGTGGAGGTGGCCGTCTGGGGCCCTGGCTGCCACTCGGCCCTGCAGCTCCCTCAGTGCTCGGCAAAACCTCCGCTGGGGCAGGGCCTCTTGAGGTGAACGTGCTTTTCTGAGAAGTGACAAAGTGCAGTCCGGCCTGCGGGGGGGGCGTGCGGGGAGGGGGAGGCTGCCCAGGTGGCGTCATGGTAGAGCCGAATTTGTACTGGGTTCCCCCACCCCGGCCCCCCCCGTTAATCAGCCACGGGCCCCAAGCCGGGCAAGAGAGGTTCCCCAGGAACCTGAGACTCCTCGGCAAGGGGGTCTGCACAGGTGACTTCCGGGGCTGGCGGGTGACCACGCCTGCTATGGGCTCGGGGCGGGGGCTGAGTGTAGCTCCCAGTCCCCTGGAGCCTGGACTGTCCCCTGCCCTGGGCTTCTAGGAGCTACCCCCATCTCGAGGACAAGGCTCCTTGCCTAAGTGTGTCCCAGACACTTTATGTTATGTGAAATCAAAATCTCCAACCAAAGAGGTCACCTGGCCCTTCCCTCCCCTTGCAGGCTGGGCAGGCGATGGAGGAAGGTTGCTGGGCCTATGGAAGGGGTGGCAAGGGTGAAGACGCCAGCAGTAGTGTCCGTGTCCCCCAAGGTGGCTGCGCCACCCTCCCTGAGATTCCTATAGGCTGCCCACCGAGGACCGACTTCTCCCCAGCCAGGGTGTGGGTGCTTTGTCCAGGCAGGCCAATCAGAGCACCTGCCACCCTGGGTGCAGTGATTGGCTCAGGAAGAGCACATGACTCAAGAAGAGCCAATCGGAGCCTGTTCCCAGGCTGGCCTGGATGCGCCCCGCCTTGTTGGGATGGGAGTCCTGAGATGCTGTCGGCTCCGGCTGCTGCCACTGTGCACAAAGATCAGGCTGGGACAGGCAGAGTTGAGAGGGAGGGGGCAGGGCCTGAGCACAGTGGGCTCCTGGATCCAGCTATACCTGAAATCCCTCCACTTGCAACGTCCAGATCTGTGACCCAGGAAACGCTTCCCTTCTTTGCACACACCCTCTGAGCTGGGTCTGGTCATTGGCAGCCAGGCATAAAGACGCCAGTGCTGGACTTAGCATTAGAAAGGGCCTCAGGACATGGCCTCACAGCCCAGGGGGCATCTGAGCCATGGAGACATTGGCTCCTGGGACACAGGCCTGGGGTCCTCACCTGCTCGCAGCGGCAAGGACAGCCACTCACCGGGTCATGGCGTTCGACACCTGAAAGTGGCCGTGGGCAGTCAGCTCGAAAGTGGCGGTGAAGGGGCCCAGCAGCGCCTTGTGCTCCTTCCCGTAGGTGTTGCTGGCCAGGCAGAGGACGAACCACTCCCCCTGGAACTGCAGGGGCTGGCGGTGGCCGGGCGGGGAGCCCCGCCCATCTGCCCCGGACAGCTCGGAGCCAGGACTCCTCTCAGGGCTGTGGGGCTGGGCCTGTGCTAGGGGCGCTGGTCTGGCGGCCTCCCTGAGCCTCAGCTCCCCACGTGTGCAGGGGTTGCAGGAGGGAACGGGAGACCCAGGAAAGTGTGTCCAGGGTCCTTTTCTGTCGGGGCTTGTCCTGGGGTCCTGAGAGCAGGGCCTGGGCCCCTGGCAGCGTGAGCTGACCTGCCGCACTCCCTGGGCAACGACCCCGGCTTGCATGGCCTCCTCTCCCCCCACACTGGGGCCCCAGCCAGCTGCCTCCCTTCCTGGAAGGCTACGTACCTGGTCTCCTTGGAAGCTCTGCATCCCGAGCTGCACCGGCAGGGGGTTCAGGACCTGGCCCCACAGGACGTCCGGCAGTGTGAGCAGCAGCCACAGTGCACACCAGGGCCCCATCCTGGCCACCTCCTGGCCTGTGCAATGGGAGAGGAAGTGGCCATTGGCAGGTGGCTCAAGACTCACCTCCTAGGGCCACCTGGCAGGGGCCCACCCCAGCACTGGCAGGAGGGGGGGCAGGTGCAGAGGGGGCTGGGCAGGGCAGGGCCTCCGAGAATCTGCCCATCCCCGGGGTCTCCTGGGTCCCCACCAGGAGGGGCAGGGTCCACTGTGTGCCCCAGGCTTCACCTGTGGACCCCGAGTGCCCGGCTCTGCACCCCCTTGGCTCCCTGCCCCCAGCCTCCGCTGCCGCCGCCAAATGTCTTCTCCCAGGCAGAGAGCGTGACCTGCACGGCCCCATGGGACAGGGCCCAGGCCCCGGGTGGCCAAGTGTGGGCGAGCCCCCCTGTGGAGTCCTGGCCTGCCGGCCCCAGGGCACTCCCCGCCTCCCTGGCCCTGCGTGGGCTGGCTGTGCAGGGAACAAGGACAAGGCGGACCGCAGCTATGCGCCCAGGGGTGAAGGCCGGTCAGACGGGAGCGAGGACAGGTGGCACCCTGAGGAAGACGTGGACACCCCAAGGGGATGACTGAGGGCGTTTCCAAGGACCCTGTGCACAGAGGGGAGAGCAAGGGCTGGCTGGGGCTCCCGTCACCCTGAGCCCCACAGACGACAGGCTAGGGAGGAACGGCCACTCCTGGACCCTCCCCTCCTCACTGCCCGCTGGGCCTGGGGGTAGCTCCGTGTTGTGGGGTCACTAAGATTGTGCCAGGCACCTCGGGCTCACGGTGCGCCCGAGAGCTGCTGGCGTGGGCCCCTCCTCCCCACCCCCGGGTCCCCGTCCTGGGCAATGTCCTCCCCTCACCCAGCCCTGCGCACAGGGAACTTGGGCCCACCTGGGCTTCAGTGTCCCTGTGGAGGGGCGTTTGCTGTACCCCCGTGGCCAGACACTCTACCATTCCGGGGACGGGCCCAGGAATAGGAAAGTTGCAGACAACACAGTCAGTCGCCCTGAGCTTCTCCTGAGCCTTCTCCCTCCATCCCCTCCCAGCCACCCAGGCGCCAGGGCAGCAGCCCTCAGCCCTGCACCCAGCCCGGGCAGGTGCCCCCCTTCCCGCACCTGTCCTGTCTGCGGGGCACTCTGGGGAGGTTTGGGATCGCAGTCGACAGCATGTCCCAAGCAGGAGACGGCCCCCTCACGGACCGCCACGCATGTAGGGCCCTGCGGGGGACCCGGCCTTCCCGGCTAGCTCAGCTCGAGCTGCTGCTGGGCTGTGTCCTTGACATAGAAGGTCCCTGGGCCTTGCGCAGGGCTAGGCCCGAGCTCCCACCTGCACCCACCTTCTGCCCCAGGGTCTGGGCAAGCCTCTGGACAGCCCTGGGCGCTGCTGCTAACTGTGCACCTGCTTCCCGTTCTGGAGCCTCCTGGGCTGGACAATGGGTGGGGGCGCCTCCCCCACCTCTGGCAGCTGCGGTGTCGCTCCTCCTGTCTGATGTGACGGTGGGGGTGGGCATGTGAGTTCCACCGCGGCTGCCACCCCGCCAGGTCCTGCAGGTACTTCCGGGAGCAGGCAGCACCCTGCCTTTCCCACCAGGCAGGCGGGGCCCCCAGGCTCATGAGGCCCCCGAGGTGCCCTGATGCCTGTAGGTCTCTGCAAGACTGCTAACAATTAAATGTTAGTTTCCATAGATTTTTTTTTTTTTGACACAGAGTCTCACTGTTGCCCTTGCTAGAGTGCCATGGCATCATCCTAGCTCACAGCAACCTCAAACTGCTGGGCTCAAGCAATCCTCCTGCCTCAGCCTCCCGAGTAGCTGGAACTACAGGCGTGTGCCACCATACCCGGCCAATTTTTTCTATGTTTTTAGTTGTCCAGCTAATTTCTTTCTATTTTTTTAGTAGAGACACGGTCTCGTTCTTGCTCAGGCTGGTCTCGAATTCCTGAGCTCAAATGATCCGTCCGCCTTGGTCTCCCAGAGAGCTAGGATTACAGGCGTGAGCCACCGCGCCCCGCTAGTTTCCATAGATTTTTAAACTTATTTTTCTTCTAAGGTATTGAAAATCACCTGTTAGAATTACAGGGCTAAATGCAAATTTTAAGAAATACTTTTTTAAAAAAATTTTATTTTTATTTATTTATTTACTTTGAGACAGGGTCTTGCTCCGTCTCCGGGGTGGGGTGCAGTGGCATCATCGCAGCTCACTGCAGCCTCCACTCCTGGGAACACGGGGTCCTTCCCCCTCGGCCTCCCGAAGTGCCAGGATCACAGGCGTGAGCCATCACACCCACCCAGAAAATACTTTCAAATGAAAATGATTCACATGAAGTTATCATAACTTTATCTAATTTTTGAAAATTTTAGTAAAGCTTATTAAGTAATTGTTTGAAAATAAAATGCGCTGCCGTTTCAGCTCTCGGTGCCCTTGGGTGGGCGTGAAGAGCCACGGGGCTGCAGGGCTCACGCGGCCCGTCCAGACCAGGATGTGGATGGTTGGGCCCGGGACACGCCAACACCAACCGCGGCACCCACGGTTGTTTGGGAGGGTCTCTGGCGCCACCCCGCGGACACTCGGCCCTCCCTGAGGGAGGACGGCTCGCTCCTTCCCTGAGAAAAGGGAGGGGCCCACCGACCTAGCCAGCTGTCTCAGGGCAAGACCCTCACTCTCTGGAGGGCGTGGGGCTCTCCCCGGGCTCTGGCCACGTGGCTGAAGGTCTTTAGGAGTTGCCAGCTCTGAGTCTGGAAGCCCACGTGACGCGGGAGCCCCGTTGCTGTTTTGTGGTCTCCGGGACCCGGAGCCTCAGGAGGGCATGACCTCCTGGGCCTTCTCCTGCCCAGGTGTTGGCAGCCGGGCCCCACCCCTCCCCCAGCCCTGTCTGCCTGCCCTCCCTCCCGGGACCCCAGCTGCGGAGCAACACTGCGTGGGCACAGCAGGGTGAGCTCCCCCACAGGACGCGGTGCCCCTCCAGGCAGCTGCTGGCTCTTCCCAGCAACCACCCGCCCAAGCTGCGTGCCCTCTGTCCTTGTCTGGACTGGGCCAGCGGCAAGGTGGGCAGGGCTGGGCCAGGACCTCCAGGGAGGGGACAGTGGTCCTTCCTGCTCTGCAGCTGCAGCCTGGGTGTCCTGCGTCCTCCCATGGCCTGAGACGCCTCCACCCCACCTGGTCCACTGGTGGCTGCATGCTGGACTTTGAGCTCCAGGGTAGGGACCTGCCCTCCCTGTGGCCCCAGGACCTGGTACACCGTGGGCACTTCAGAAATGCTTATGGGATGGATGCCAGGCAGGGCCTGAGACATGAGCAACTCCGAGGCCAGTTCCAGGCCCGGCTGGGCTGAGCTGACACCCAGCTCCCCGGGCGCCCAGCCCCAGCCCAGGGCTGCAGTTTGCCCTCAGGACAGAGCAGACCCTCCCCCAAGTTCTCCCAAAAGGTTCCCAAGGGGACAGTGAAGGTGGACAGAACTTGAAGGTGATGCCTGCAGGGCCTGGATGGGCAGCGCCAACCCGACCCTGGTGGGCCAGCTCGCAGCGGCGTGGCTAGGAGGAGGCTGACAGGACAGCAGTGGGTGGAGCCGGCCCCTCTGGGAGGCAGCCTGGGGTTTGCAGGACAGTGGCCAGGGAGGGACAGCCTTGGAGACAGGCTGGATGCCAGGACCCCATCAGGGCACGGGGTGTGGGTGTGCCGGGAGGAACACCCCTTCCAGGCCACCAGAGCGGCTGGTATGGTGACCTCCAGCAAACAGAGCCCGGGGGCAGGTGCAGGGAGGGTCTGGAGAAAGCTTTTGGAGCCGGGGCAGGTCCAGGTGGACAGAAGGAGTCAGGGGCTCAGTCTAAGACATTTAATTAAAACGAATGCCTCCCACACCACTGAGCTTGGGGTGCAGGGACAGCCTCCCAGGACAGACGACAGGAGACCCTGAGGTGGGGCAGGCCCTGGACCCTGGCTGAGACCTCTTGGTGGTGCCCGGGGCTCAGTGAGGAGGGGCTGCAGGCGCCTCCTCCGGCGGGGTCCCCTCCAGCAGGGTCTTCTCTTGGGCACTGGCCTCACCTCCTCACCTCTGCGGCAGAGAGGAGCTCAGCACACAGCACTCGACCCCCGCGAGGCGCCCGGCCCGGCCCTGCTGCCCACTCACCGTCCAGGACGTGGAACTGGTCCGCAGCCTCGCAGAAGCCTGGGGGCCCAGGCAGGGTCAGGGCTGACTGGGGCCTCGGCCCGGGGTTGGGGAGAGGCTAAGCAGGCACTTAAACCCGCCCGAGACACTCACCGTACTTGGGGAAGAACACGACCTGGTCCTCAGTCAGGTGGGCCTCCTGGACCCACCGCTCAAACCCACTCAGGACCGAGTCGCTCACAGGGAGGGAGCGGGCTGTGGGGAGGACAGGGCTCCTGGGGTCCCGGCGCAGGCAGGGGGTGACCTGGGGACAAGGTCTGTGCGTGTCTGGGACTCAGCCCCCAGCTGGCCCCTCCCCCTCCCCCGTCCAGCCCCGACACTGGGCCCTGTCCTTGTCTGGACTGTGCCAGCCGCAAGGTGGGCGGGGCTGGGCCTGGCCAGGACTTCCAGGGAGCCTCCCAGCAGGGGGGTTGGGATGGGGCAAGGGGCTCTGTGTCCATCTGGGCTCGCCCAGCCGGCCCCCATGGCAGAGCCCCGGGCGCCACACACCGTACAGCTTCACCGACAGCCGCCCTGCCCGCTCCAGGTACAGGATGGCGAAATCCTGGTAGTCTGTCTCAGCGACAACCACGTGCACGGCCCCTCGGGCGCCTCTGGCTGGGGCAGAGCCACAGTGGCCACATCAGTCCCCTGGTCCCCAGCCTTCAGTCCTGCACCCGCACACCCTGCCACCTCGCCTTACCTTGGAGCAGGAAGCGGCCAGGGACCCCCGTGTCTCTGTAGAGCTGGCGCACCTGCCAGCAGATCCCATCCCTGGAGGATGTGGGGTGGGAGGAGGCATGGTGGGCGCAGGGCCCCACTCCGGGACATGGGTCCTTGCCACGGCAGGGTGGGGCTGGGGGCCAGGGCGAGAGTGGGGGCTGGGTTTAGGGGCTGTTTGGGGACTCACAGCTTTCGGAAGGTGCTGACAGCCATGGCTGTGCCCTGGGGAGCCACATGCAGTGTGGTGGCCTCAGCCCGGTGGCTCTGCTCTTGCAGGACGCGGCAGGCGGAGCCCAGGGCCACGAGGAGCCAGGTCCCTGCAAACTGTGACGCCCACGGTGGGGCTCACGGGCACGGAGAACGGGCAGCTGGCGCCCATCCCACCCCCACCCACCCGGCTTCTACCTTCTGAGCGTCGAAACCGGCCTTGGGCTGGATGGTGCTGAGGAGGGACGGGGGCCGGGGCGGCCGCCGAGCCCCCCGACCCAGTGAGCCGGCCGCCAGGAGCAGAGCCACGAGAAGCACAGTCCCCGAGGGCGGCATGGCGGCAGCGGTGGTGGCGACGGTGACAGGACTGGGGGAGGCTGACGGCCGGGCACTGGGTCGGAGTCCAGTGTCCAGAGCAGCCAGGAGCCCAGCCCAGGAAGTCCACATCCTTCCCCGTGTCCCCTGCCCCCGCTGCGGGCCAGAGTCCCCCCAGCCTCCTCGCGAGCCCAGCCTGCCCTGCTCTTCCCGGCAGGTCCCTGGCATCATGTCCTATGTACAAAGTCCCAGGTGACCTCCAGCTGTTTGTCCATGTCCCCTGCACCCCTTTGCACGTCTATGTCCCTTAAACCGCCACCAGCTGGTCTTATCCCCATGGTTAACATCACTGGGTTCACGAAACCTCTTCCTCAGGGTCCAACCGCAGCGAGCGGTCTCGAACCCCCGGCCCGTAACCCCCCCCCCCCCCCCCCGCACACCGCCCGCGGCCCAGTGCACGGCCGTCGTTCCTCCTGGCCACCAGGGGCGCCGCTCGCAGGGAGCCCGAGCCCGCGCAGGCGCACAAAGAAGGCTGCCAGCCTTCAGGGCCCGAGGCGCAGGCGCAGGCGAGGCCGGCGCGGACGGCCCGGGCGCTCAGCCTTCCGGAGCCATCGATGCTCCGGGGATCGTGGCGTCGGGCCTGGCGGGCTCCGCCGTAGAGACGCGGGCGCGGCGGCCGGAGCGGAGGGCCGCGCAGCGGGCGGGGGCGGCCACGGTGAGTGCGCCCGGGCTCTCCCGCGCCTGGCCGGCCCCGTCCGGCCTTGTCCGGCCGTCACCTGAGCTCGTCCGGCCCCGTCCGGCCCCCCGGCCTGGGCAGATGGACGCGCCGCAGCCCGCCGGGCAGTGGCCAAACTCGCTGTCCGCCCCTCCGGACTTCCCTAGGGCCACAGGGCAGAGACCAAGGGCCAGCCGCGCCGAGACTCTCCTGGGAAAGAAGTCTGTGCGGTGCTGACAGCTGGGAAGCCTCGGGGTGGCCGGGCCAGAGACGGGAGAGCTGGGGGTCACCCAGTGTCTCCCTTGCCCGGTGTGGGGCGTGGGGGGGCTCCCGTTGCGGGGTCCTTGGTTGGGGCAGTGCCGGCGCCCCTCCCCAGGCGCTCAGGCCAGTGGAGTTCTCGGCAGGGGCAGTTGGTGGGGCTGGAGAACAGCCCATGCGCCCCTGCTCGGCGCGGGGGCAACCAGGTAAAGGCAGCTATTCGTGGCTTGCAGGGCCGCTGGGGCAGAATGTCACGATGGACGAGGGGGGCACGCCCCTGCTCCCCGACTGCCTCATCTACCAGATCTTCCTGAACTTGGGCCCCGCCGACGTGCTGGCTGCGGGGCTGGTGTGCCGGCAATGGCAGGCTGTGTCACGGGATGAGTTTCTGTGGAGGGAGCAGTTCTACCGCTACTACCAGGTGGCCCGAGATGTGCCCCGACACCCAGGTCAGTGACTGCATGGCCCGGAAGTCCACGGGGGCCGGCTGGGGTCGGCCCCACCCTATGTTCTGCAGCCAGAGTGCCAGGCCCGTGCCCAGCAGTGCATGGCCCTGAGCATCCACCTGGCTGACCAAGGACTATTGGACCCAGCACAGGTCACCTCTCAGAGCACAGGGTCTTGTGTGAAAGCCAATGGGTGGACCAGGTCACTTGGGGGTGGGGAGCACAGGGGTCTCTGTGAGCTACAACGTGTGCCCTCCAGCTGAGGCCTAAGCTAGGACTAGTGGACATGGCAGCCCCCGGTCTCCAGGCCACCACCAAGCTTGTCAGGTGTGCTACAGCCACGCTCTGGGCACTTGGCCCTGACTGCAGGGAAGGAGGCTCAGGCCCAGGGGTGACACTGCCCCTCCTGCAGCGGCCACGTCCTGGTATGAGGAGTTCCAGCGGCTCTACGACATGGTGCCCTGTGTGGAGGTGCAGACACTGAGGGAGCATTCCGACCAGGTCCTGCACCTTAGCTTCTCCCACTCGGGCTACCAGTTTGCTTCCTGCTCCAAGGACTGCACAGTGAAGGTGAGGATGCCCAGGTGCCTGGCTCACAACCCCCACCTCCACCAGGGCTGAGGGCCTGGGGCCAGGCCTCCCAACCAGGTAGGAAGGGAGGGTCAGGCCAGAGGTGAGAGACGGGCCCATCTCCCTGCGTCCAGTGGCGAGGACCAAGTCGGAAGAACCACCTCAGCCAGGACCACGCGGGACTGGGAGCAGGGGAGGGCGACCCTAACTGCCAGCAGAGAGGAGAGGGCCCCCAGGAAGACTCCTGCGCCAGAGGCAGGCCCTCAGCTCTCTGTGCCCATGTGCCTCAGGGTGGGTGACAGCTGGCTGGAAGGTGTCCCTGCCCCATGGCGCTTTCTGGGCTGAGCTGGCAGAGCCAGGGCCAGATGGCACCATGGTAGCACGCCTCTTCCTGGCTCTGGCTGGGTGGTCACCCACTGCCACCCCCGCTGTGCAGATCTGGAACAACGACCTGACCATCTCGCTGCTGCACAGCGCGGACATGCGGCCCTACAACTGGAGCTACACCCAGTTCTCCCAGTTCAACCAGGACGACTCGCTGCTGCTGGCCTCTGGGGTGTTCCTGGGGCCCCACAACTCCTCATCGGGCGAGATTGCCGTCATCAGCCTAGGTGAGCACGGGCCCTGGGATGGGCCACCTCCTGCCCCCTGCTGGCAGCTTGCCCAGCCATGGCCTCCCCGCAGACTCCTTCGTGCTGCTGTCCCGAGTGCGCAACAAGCCCTACGACGTGTTCGGCTGCTGGCTCACGGAAACCAGCCTCATCTCCGGGAACCTGCACCGCATCGGGGACATCACCTCCTGCTCAGTGCTGTGGCTGAACCACGCCTTCCAGGTGTGGGCAGTGTGGGGTGGGGCAGGGCGAGGCAGGGCTTGCAGCAGGCAGCGGGCTGCCCTCTCCCAGGCCCGGCGCCCACCCAGCTGTGTCCCGCTCGCAGGATGTGGAGTCGGAGAACATCAACGTGGTGAAGCGGCTCTTCAAGATCCAGAACCTCAATGCCAGCACCATCCGCACAGTGATGGTGGCCGACTGCAGCAGGTTCGACAGCCCGGACCTCCTGCTGGACGCTGGGGACCCTGCTGCACCCCCCTGCTGCCACGTCTTTGACCTGGGCAGCGACAGTGAGGACGAGGTAGCTGGCCCGGCCCCTGCCCACACCAAGGAGGGCTTGCAGCGATTCCTGGACCGTATGTTGGACGGGCGCACGCAGCCGCAGCTATCGGAGTGCGTGCTGGAGACCAGAGTGGCTAAGCTGCTGGCCCAGGGCCACACCAAGCCACCTGAGCGCAGCACCGCCAGCACCAAGAACAAGTACCTCATCTTCACCACAGGCTGCCTCACCTACTCCCCACATCAGATCGGTAATGGGCAGGGCAGACCTGACTGGCCTGCGGGGACCACTGCTGGGTGCTTCCCAGGCCCCTCCTCAGGCCCAAGAACTTGGAGGGAGGCTGGGCAGGCATCCCAGGGGCCAGACAGCATGGGAGTCCACAGGCAGTTTGGATCATCCATCTGCTCCTGGGGGTGCAGGCCCGGGCCTGGCCTTGGTCCTGTGGGGGCCCAGTGATGAATGGCAGGACAGATGCGGGCTGGGCCCCAGCAAATGAGTGACCGGATGGGCCTCTCTGGTTCAGATCTGGGGGCCCTCAAGCAGGCAGACCCACGGACCTCTGGGGTGCTCAGGAACTGAGGTGCCCTCAGGGTTGGGGCTGTCCTGGAGGTGATGTCCCCCAGGGCAGGGTGGGGGCCCTCACCCTGGCCTTCTGCGTAGGCATCAAGCAGATCCTGCCACACCAGATGACCACGGCTGGGCCTGTGCTCGGTGAGGGTCGGGGCTCTGACGCCTTCTTTGATGCGCTGGACCATGTCATCGACGTGCACGGCCACATCATTGGCATGGGCCTGTCGCCCGACAACAGGTAGGCCTCCTGACAGTGTCCCGGGTGGGGTGCCCGCAGGTGGCCGGTACCTAGCGGTGTGCCCCCTGCCCAGGTACCTGTACGTGAACAGCCGCGCCTGGCCCAGTGGTGCGGTGGTAGCTGATCCCATGCAGCCACCACCCATCGCGGAGGAGATTGACCTGCTGGTGTTTGACCTCAAGACCATGCGGGAGGTGAGGCGGGCCCTGCGAGCACACCGCGCCTACACACCCAACGACGAGTGCTTTTTCATCTTCCTCGATGTTAGCAGGGACTTTGTGGCCAGGTGCGGGCTCAGGTGGGCCAGGGCTCAGGGCAGGTGTGGGCACCAGCAGGTGGGCAGTGCGTTTACTTGGCGCTGTCCTACAGCGGGGCTGAGGACCGGCACGGCTACATCTGGGACCGCCACTACAACATCTGTCTGGCCAAGCTGCGGCACGAGGACGTGGTCAATTCGGTGGCCTTCAGTCCCCAGGAGCAGGAGCTCCTGCTGACAGCCAGCGACGACGCCACCATCAAAGCCTGGCGCTCACCACGCACCGTGCGCATACTCCAGGCCCCGCGCCCACGCCCCCGCCCTTTCTTCTCCTGGTTTGCCAGCCAGAGGCGCTGACGGGTACACTGGGATCCTCTGAGGACACCAGCAAGGCCCCGTGGTTCCGTCTCGAGTGGGGGGCAGAGATGCTCAGCTCGTAGCTGTAATGCCTTAGAAAGGGGATGGCTGGACCCCAACACGCTCTCGCAAGCGAACCCACCCACGCAGCTGTGATGCTTAGCACTAGGGTGGCCGGTGTGGGCAGTGCCAAAGACCATCTATCAGCCTCCTGGCCTTCTTGGGGTGCACAGACACTGGAGGCCCCACTCCTCACCCACCCCTTGCCCTGGGCTGGAGGCTGGTTCACACAGCTCTGAGCTGGCCCCCTGCCCAGGGCACTGGGGATGGTCAGCGTGACACACACTCTCAGCCAGTCCTGCAGGGCCCCGGCTGGCGGAGGACTCCCGTCTCTGGCACCTTGGTGTGTGCACCTGCGGTGACCGGGGCGGGCAGGTTAGCCTGCCGTGGGCCTGAGTGTACTGCATGTCCACTCGCCCCGTTTGGGGCCCTGAATAAACAGTTGGCCACAGCATACTGTCGTCTAGCCTCTGTCTGCAGGGAGGGGGCCCAGGGCACAGATGGCTGTGACGGCCCCAGGGGTGTAGACTTTATGGCCACCACCTGATGGGTGCCAGGTGAGAACAAGATGGAGGTGCTGGCACAAGCGTGTATGTCCAGCTACCGTGTCACACTGCCCTGTCCACCCTCCGCAACCTTGAGGAGATGCGTAACATGTCTGCAGTGGGCGGCAGCGTTCAGAGCCTGCCAGGACGAAGTCCAGGGGTGGGGCTGCATCCAGCTCCCGGTGCCAAGGGAGTCTGCAGGGGTTTCAGCACTTAGTTACATCCTCCAGGGGTTCCCTGGCAGCTGGGG